TTATTTTTTTTTATCCCTGCATACCAACGACCTCCCCAGGAAAGGGGCCCCTTTCCCACACCCAAGATTAAATCCACCCAACGTAGGGTCGGAAAAAAAGCTTGCAGCGTTTCTTATCTCAGCCAGCCTCCACAAGGACGGTCCCAGGAGATGTTCACAAACCCTTGACAGACTCCCCAAGCTCAGGGGTGACCCACACCATGTCCATCTCCTGCAGATTTGGTGCTGGCCAACCCCCCCAAAAGTCAGGAATCACCGAAAATGGTGCAGAGGTTTAAAACCACCAGTTTCATAATCACAGCAAAAAAAAAAAAATCCCAGCAGCCAAAAGCCCCGGCGCTGCGGCAGAAGTGAAAGCACCCATGAAAATAAACCCAATGAGGGGGAACTGGGCAGCATCGGGGACAGACACTGGTGGCTTAAGGGACATCAGGGAAGCTCCAGTATATTCCAGTCTCTCCTGGTGTCCCATTTTGGGGTGACACCAGTGTCGAGTGGCAACTGCGAGGTGTCAGTATCTGAAAATCAGATAAAAGGGGAGTTTTCGAGCTGCTGGCTCAGGTTCTCAGTTGAGTCATGGATAATTAATGGATCTGGGGACCTTCCAAGATGGGGAAATGTTGGGCGATGGGGGGATCCCAGGCCAGCTGGCTGGTGGTGGTGCTAAAGAAGCAGGGGGACGTGGGTAGGGGACATGGCCAGGCCCAAGAGGCCACCAGAGGGGTGACAGCATCTCTGCCCCCACACCATCGACTTGTCCAGGACCTTCCCCAGGGTCTTTGTGTCCCTCCACTTGCCCAGGGCAGTTGCAGATGGATGCCCACACCTCGGTGGAGACCTCTTGGAAACTCATCCCATCGCATCCCATCGCATCCCATCGCATCGCATCCCATCCCATCCCATCGCATCCCATCCCATCGCATCCCATCGCATCCCATCCCATCGCATCGCATTGCATCGCATCCTATCTCATCCCATCCCATCCTATCCCATCCCATCCCATCGCATCCCATCCCATCGCATCCCATCCCATTCCATCGCACTGCATCCCACCCCACCCCACCCCATCCCATCCCTGGTCCTTCCCCACTCCCTACGTCTCTCTCAGAGGCACTGTTTGGGTTTGTTAATTATGGGTCTTCCCTTTCAGGACTCTCCTCTCCATCATGCTCCGCGATGGACCATTTTGGGAAAGCCTGAAAAAAATCCCGTTTTTTTTTTTTAAATTGTCTTTAAACTGGAAACTCAGAAGGTGTCATCTTCTGGACCCTGGGGAAGAAGGAGAACTGGGGGGGCTTTTTCTCCCTTTTCCTTCCCCTATGGCCTGTATCTGCTGATTTGGGGTTGAAAGTCTGAGATGGGGGACATACAGACAAAATGATGGAAAACCAGAGAAGTAAATTTAAAATTTTT